TTTTTCTTTAAAAAAATTTAAAATTTATAACAGAATATCTTACTTCTATTCAATATTTGAATGGAGAGAAAGAGGGGAGAGGGGAGGAAAAATCCTCTATTCTTTTCCTTTCATTTTATGTGAATAAATAACTAAATTAAAATAAAATAAAATAAAATTTTCACCTCATCTCCCCACTAATTGTTTTTGTAATTAAAATTTTTTTTCCTCCTCTCCTCTTTGTTTCTCTTAGTCCTAATATATTTTTAAAGCTTTTAATCTTTATCAAACACACTTATGATGAAGCTTATCTTATTACTCCCCGTCTTAAAAGGTTAAAATCAATTTTTAGGCTCTCACTTTATAAAATGAGTAGGTTTTAGTCCATAATCTTATAATATGACATTTTTAGCTCTCACCTTACAAAATTAGTAGGTTTTAACCCCTAATCTTATAATATGATACTTTTAACCCTTTATCTTATAAAATTGTTAGGTTTTAACCTCTCACCTTATAAAGTTGGTAGATTTTAGCTCATCACCTTATATTTTGACACTTTTAATCTCTTATCTATACGAATTGAAAAAAATAGCTTCTATTTAGCATCAGATTATAATGTTCTATTAGTTCTGTTAACTGATTGTTAGTTCTGTTAGTTGATTGTTAGTTCTGTTAGTTGATTGTCAGTTCTATTAGCTGACTATCAATTTTGTTAGTTGACTGTTAGCATCTGTTAACATTTCGTTAATGGAACTAACAAATAAAATTGAATTTAAATTTCATATTTTTTATAATGGAATGCTAATGGATGTTATCAGTCAACTAACAGAACTAATAGAACGTTATAATCTGATATTAGGTGAGGGTTATTTTCTTTAATTCGTAATTATGAGGGGCTAAAAATATCATAATATAAAGTAAGGGGTTAAATACTATCAATTTTATAAGGTAAAGGGCTAAATCTTACCAACTTTGTAAGAAAAAAAGTTAAAACTGTCATATTATAAGGTGATGAGCTAAAACTTACCAACTTTGTAAGAAAAAAAGTTAAAACTGTCATATTATAAGGTGATGAGCTAAAACCTACCAACTTTGTAAGGTGAGGGCCTAAATGTTGGTTTTTGCCGTCTTAAAATGGTAGTGTTTTTTTTTTTTTTCAAAATTTATACCCATCAAATTCATTGTGATTTTTCATATTTTAAAAAAAGATAAATATTAAGCAGTATCATTATTCATTTTATTGTACAAAATTCTTTTATCTTTGTCTTTTTTTCTTAAAAAAGGGTAAAAATAAAAATTATTCATAAATCTTTAATTTAAAAATAAGATTTAAAAAAATAGGAAAAGAAAAAGGAAACAACTAGTATTATGCTAAGAGGGAAAGGCAACTTGCAATGGATCATTGTGGTGGGATATATAAACGTTTACCCCAAGATTTAACAAGTTATAACTTGATTTGCTCAAGGGAGGTTTTTTTTTTTTTTTTTTTTTTTTTTTTTTTTTTTTT